AAAAAAAAAAAAAAGGGAGGAAAACCGGACACGAGAAGGTAAACTGGAACGAAACAATCGTATCCGAAATGAATCGTAAGTGTAAAGAAACGTACGTATGGCTCGGAATGGTAAAATCGATGGAAAAACTATCGCTATAACTGAAACTACCACCGTTGGTAACGATCGAATTTTTTCACTCGTTCGTTCACTTTGTTGGCAAAAGTTAAGATAAAGCTTTAGCATTTATTTCTCGTGAGAGAAATTACTCGTTCAAACATTATCACGCGTGCGAATAATCACGCAACAGGAAACACGTAGACGCATTTTTCAGCGTTTCTGCTGAAAGAAAGAAGGAAAAAATTAACGAGAAGGGTTCAAGAGGGACGAAGGTTTCGAGCGTGTGCTCGAAGCACACTTGCCACAAGAAGTGTGATTTAAGAATCCAAAGTGTGTACTTGCACGTACTTACACACGCGATTACGCGCGAATTTGCCGCGTATCATCGGAATTCCTCGCATCATTTTCCCTCGGGACGACGATCCTCGACAACGAGGATCGTTCATTCAACAACTCAAGCTCGCTCATCGAGAATTTTTCTCTATTCGCGTGTACTTTTTCGCACACGCGTGTACATTTTGGGAGGAACGTCTCGCAAATTATTCGAACGCGAATAAATTTTGAAATTTTCGAAACCGAAGGTTGTTCCAACGCTGTTACTCCGTCGTTCATTTGTTTCTTACGCGACATATACGCGGAAAGAAGAAGGAAAGAAATTACGCACGTATATACACACGCATACGCGTATGCGCGCGACGCGTACCATGCAAAGGTATTTCGGCAAGATACCGTGAAAATTGTACGAGTCGATCGTAGATGTTTAACGATCTTAACTCTTTCTCGCGGCTAGGTGTAAGATCGATACACGTTATAACTTTTTCTCGAAACGAATACACAGACGTAGGAATAGAAATGGAACAACAACGAAGAAAGCGAAAGTACGAAAATTTAATCGAAATTTCTAAAAAGAACGTGGAAATATCTCAACGATCGGGAAATTATCTCGTCAACAATATCGTCCGTGGTATTTATACGAATACGCGATAGAAATACGGGAAACACGCGAATAACGAACAAATCGTTACGTAGCCAGAGTTACGTGGAAAAAAAAAATAAAGGAGGAAGAAATTTAGCATCGACACGATCCACACACGTAGGTACGAATACAGCGAGAACGAAAAAGGATATCGTTCTCCACTCGGATCGTTCGTTTCCAATCAAAGTTTTCACTCGCGAATTCTCACACGTTCTTTCAAATAGACGCACAAGTATACAACGTACGTGTTTCGACGTACGTATACACGTACGTGTTATTCGCGTAGATAAATCGTCTGTCAGTCTCGCGCGATAACCGACATTTATTGCTGGTAAAGCAAAGTAACAAAGTAAACGAGGCATCAAATCGATCGTTGTTTCATTTGTTGTTTTAACAAACAACTCGATCGAAATAATCTTTACCTTTCAATCGCAAAACACGCGAAATACGCGTGACTTTTCTTCCTCTTCTGTTCGGCACGCACAGAGTAACAGTAATGGCCGATTAATAGTTGTCTATCGCGGTACTCGACGATGTGTGTGTGTGCGTGCGTGCGCGCGCGCGCGCGTGGGTGTGCAAACGGGACAGAGTATTTTTCATAGTTTCACGCAAATATTTTAGAAATTTTCCTCTTGAAATTTGCTCTTCGAGGACCGCGTTGGACCGCGAACGACGCGAGTATCGTACCATTCCTCCTCTCGTTCTTATCGTTGTCGTCAATTTCCTTCCATCAAACTCCAACCACCAAATTCCAAATTCAAATTTTTGTCTCTTTCCTCTCGACGCGGTCAAAGTTGAGAAAAATCAATGGACTCTGCGGTTAATGAACGTTCGACGCGCGAATAAACGGACTCGTCGTTCTCACCAATATCTCTCGAGCGTTTGTCATTCGAAGAATCGACGTTCGCTCGATTCCACCGCAGCAAAATTAATCGAACTTTGTTTAAATTTTGTTTCAGATCTACGAGGTGAAATGTTTACCGTACAAACTATCCGCGTAGCAGTACTGCTTGTCGTTGCTCTTCTGTAAGAAACTTGAACTCTACAGTTTGCTCGCGTTCGTTTCTAGAATCGTCCAGTTTGAAAAAACCTACGCGCGAAATACGTATCGTTTGCTCTTTCATTCGACGTTTACACGATTCGCCGTCACGCGCGCGAGTATGTAACTTTTATTCGCGACTATTCGTAAATATGTAAGCATGTGCATATTTATACGCGCGTATGCACGTATGCATGTACGTATTTGCGTAGAAACGACACACGAGAGACGGAGAGAAAGTTGCAAAATTGTTGCTCGACGCAACGCGATGGACGCTTTGTCGATGGAAATTTTCAATCGTCCATTAACAATGCGCGTGAAACACGCGAACGTCGATCAAGTTTGACGCCTGAAGTTTCGATATCGTCGAAAGTAAGCGATACATATAACACGTATACATATATGTGGCACGCTTGATTGAATCAGGTGGGACACGTGTTCCGGTTACCCGTCGATAAGACGAAAGCAAGAGGTAGCATCGCATTGCAAAGGATGCGGCGACTTTTGCCACGAGTGCGAATACGGCGTCGTAACGTCGAACGTTTGCGGGACAACGGAATGCGCAAAGGCGAGTAATCGAATCGTTCGTTGGCTGCAGGTTCGCAGCAACAGACAGCGTCGAATATCGTTACAATTCCCATAAGAATGGTATTTACTTTTTCAGGGACCCGACGAATCTTGCGGGGGACCGAGAGAACTTTTCGGTACTTGCGGCGAAGGCATGCGCTGCACGTGCAATCAATGCACAGGTTGCAGTTCAGAGAACTTGAGATGCTCGAACGTTCAAAATCCTTGTCTGCGCGATATCAACACATTCGGAAGATGGCCTACTATCATGTAAATCGACGATCGACGATGGCACATATTCGCGAGTCGGATGCGATTCACCACCCTACTCACCCCACTTACCCCACTTACCCTACCAACGAAAACGGAAAAAAAGAAAAAACCGAGATATCTTTGTAAATTCCTACGAACGTATCGCGCAAAGGCTCGAACATGTCGTACCACGCTTTTATTCATCGCGCAACTAACGTTTTATCTCGTTTCGTTAAACACGCGCGTCGAACGACAAACCATCGAATCGACAAATCTAATTTCGACAACGATCGAACAGAGCAAACGCGACGATTAGTTGCATTTTGCGTCGGTGTTTTATATATATATATATATATATATATATATATATATAT